CTTCCCCCACCCCCCCAAAAAAGAACAGAGCATTTGTGAACTCTGTGACAACTTCAGGTGGTCTAATATATATGTAACTGAGTTCCCTATAGGAAAAGAGGGAAGGAGACAGAAGAAGTACTTGACAAAAATATTTCAAGAAATGATGGCTGAAATTTTTCCAAATTTGATGAAAACTAGAAACCTACAGATCCAAGAAGCTCAAAAAACATGAAGAAAACTACACCAAGGCACATCATAATCAAATTGCTCAAAACAAATGGTAAAGAAAACATCTTAAAAGCAGCAGAGGGAAAAAAGACATTAAATACAGAATAACAAAAGTAAGGATGACAGATTTTTCATTGTAATCAATGCAAGTGAAAAGAGTAGAATGATATCTTTCAGAGTACTGGAAGGAAAAGGGAAAAAAAACTGTCCATCTAGAATCTGTAACCCACATGATAACTTTCAAAAATGAAGGCAACAGACTTTTTCAGAGAAACAAAAGCTGAAAGAATTTATCACTAGCGTGTTTGTGTTTTAAGTAATATCAAAGGAAGTCCTTAAGGCAGAAGAAAAATATACATAAAACTTTTTCTTTTATTATTTAAATCTCTTTAAAAGATAATTGACAGTTCAAACAAAAATAATAAGAGTAGTGTGGGGTTTTTAACATTTGAACAAGTAAAATGCATGACAGTAATACAAAGGCCAGGAAGGGAGAAACGGAAGCATACGTCATCTGAAGGTACATTGTGTGATAACTTAAAGAAGCATATTATAAATCCTAAGCAACCAATAAAATAACAAAACAACATGCCAATAAAAGAGATAAAATTGAATCATAAAAAAAAAATACTCAGGGCTGAGCCCGTGGAGTACTTGGGAGAGTGCGGCTCCCGCTGCGGGTTCGGATCCTATATAGGGATGGCCGTGCACTGTGCACTCACTGGCTGAGTGCGGTGCAGCTGGTCTCAAAAAAATGACAAAAAAAAAAAAATACTCAGTTAACACAGGAGGAGTCAGAGAATGAGGGAAAGGAACTAAGAACAGATGGCACAAATAAAAAACAAGTAGCAAAATGGTAGAATTGAACTCTGCCAAACCAATAATTTTATTAAATGTAAATGGTCTAAGCACCAGCATTAAATGCCAGAGATTGTCAGATTAGATTTTTTTAAAAAAACAAAAGGCCCAGTTATATGCTGCCTACAAGAAACACATTAAATATAAAGAAACAAATAGTTTAAAAGAATAAGAATAGAAAAAGGTATACTAGAAGCTAACACTAATCAAATAAAGGTGGAGTAGCCATATTAATATCAGACAAAGTAGATTTCAGAGCAAAGAATATTTCCAGGAATAAAAAGGTCATTTCATAGTAATAAAGGAGTAACTACTTCAAGAGAAAATAAAATCCTAAATATGTGTACATATCATAACAGGATTTTAAACTGCATGAAGCAAAAACCTATAGAATTGCAATAATGGACAGACAAATTTACAACTATAGTCAGAGATTTCAGGGCCACTTCTCAATACTTGATAGAACCTACAGACAAAAAATCAGAAAAGATATAGAAGACTTAAATAACACTCATTATACAACTTAACCTAATTGACATTTACAGAACACTCCAGCTAGCAACAGAATACACATCTTTTCAAGTGCATATGAAATATTTACTGAGAAAGACCATATCTTTGGACATAAGACAAGTTTCCATAATTTTAAAAGGATTACAGTCATACAAAGTTTGTTCTCTGACCACAACAGAATTAGATTAGAGAACAATAACAAAAAGATATCTAGAAACTTCCTCAAATATTTGTATGTTCACCATCACTATTCAATATTATGTTAGAGGTTCTAGCCAATGCAGTAAGTCAAGAAAAGCACATTGAAATCATCCAGATTGGAAAGGAAGTAAAATGTCTTTATTTACATATAACATATTCTTTTATGTTGAAAATTCTATGGAATGTACAAAAAAGGTGGGGGGGGGGTTGAAAACTAATAAGCAAGTTAAGCAAGGTTTAGGATATAAGATCAATACACAAAAATCATTTGCATTTATATGCTACCAATGAAAAATCCATTTACAATGGCATCAGAAGTGTTAATACTTAGGCATAAATCTGACAAAAGATGTTCAAGATATATACACTACTATAAAACATTGCTGGGAAAAATTAAAGGTGTTCTAAATAAGTAAAGAAAGGTATTGTGCTCATGGGTCAGAAGATTCAGTATTGTTAACATGGTAGTTCTTCCCAAATTGATCAATAGATTCAGTACAATCCCAGTAAAAATCCCAGCACACTATTTTGTAGAAATTGGCAAGCTAATTCTAACATATATATGGAAATACAAAGGATCAAAATAACTTTGAAAAAGAGAAGATAAAGACATTGTGGCAGTGGCATAAAGATAAATAGATAAATAGAAAAAGACAGTTCATAAATAAATCCACACATATACAGATAATTGATTTTCAATAAAGGTGCAAATGCAATTCAGTAGAGAAAAGATAGTCTTTTTGACAATGGTGCTGATATGATTTGTGCTGGTATGGTATGGTATACAAAAATTAACTTGAAATGCACCATAGACCTAAATGTAAGAGTTAAAAAATAAAACTTCTAGCAGAAAACACAGGAAAACAAAAAAACTTGTGACCTTCATTTAGGCAAAGATTTTTTTTAGATAACGACACCAAAAGCACAATCCATAAAAGAAAAAAATTGAAGAAATTGGCAAAGGGCCACAGAAAATGATTACATTGTGTAATGTTGAATATACTAATTATCCTGATTTGAGCATCACATATTACACACAGGTATTGATATTCAACACTTTACCCCATAGATATGACAATCAATTATCTTTCAATAATTTTTTTAAAAAAGAAGAAAAAAATTGATAAGTTGAACTTCAAATGAAGACTTTCTGCTCTTTGAAAAACACCATTAAGAAAATAAAAGACAAGCTACAGATTGGGAAAAAATATTTATAAATCTCATATCTAATAAAGGACTTTTATTCAGAATATATAAAGAATATCAAAACTCAATAATAAGGAAACAAACAACCCAATTAAAAATGGACAAAAAATCCGAGTAGACATTTCTCCAAAGAAGATATACATACAGACGGCAAATAAACATGTGAAGGATGCTCAGTACCTCTGATCATTAGAGAAAGCAAATAAAAATAACAAAGAAATACAATGGTATACCTACTAGGATGGCCAAAATTACAAAGACTGACCATACCAAATGCTGGCAAGGATGTGAAAAAACTGGATTTCTCAAATACTGGTGGTGGAAATGCAAAATGGTACAACCACTTTAGAAAACAGTGTGTTTTCTTTAAAAGCTAAACTTATGCATACCATACAATTCATCCATTCTACTCATAGGTATTTACCCAAGAGAAATGAAAGCATATGTTCAGACAGAGTCTTACACACTAATGTTCATAGTGGCTTTATTTGTAATAGCCAAAAACTAGGAACAACCCAAATGTCCATCAATAGATGAATAGATAAAAATTGTGCTTTATCCATACAATAGAACACTACTGAGCAATAAAGGAACAAAATTTTGATACATGCAAAACATGGATGAATGGCAAAATAATTAAGCTAAGTAAAAGAAGCCAAACATAAAAGAATACATACTGTACGATTCCATTTATATAAAACTTTAGAAAATGCAAACTAATATATAGCATTAGAAAGTTGATCATTGGTTGTAAGGGGGTGGGGCACAGAGAGGTACAAGGGAGGAACTATTAAGGGGCTTAAGGGGACTTTTGGTGGTGATGGATATGTTCGCTATCTTGATAGCGACGATGGTTTCACAGTTGCATACATACATCAAAACAACAAATTGCAAAGTTCATTGTATGTTAAAGCTGTTTAAAATATAAGAATAAAGCCAAAAAGAAAGTAGGACTCATTACTGGAATTCATAGTAGTAATAAACATTACTACAAAACTATATTAGGTAAATTATTTACAGATACTGTATTTTAAAATACCTCAATGGATACTTTTAAAGCAAAGAGCCCTTTTATAAAAGTAATCTTCACTATTAAATACATTTTTTTCATGACTCATATTGTGATATGTTGTGTGTCCTTGAAGAAGATGTACATCAAGTCTGCTGGGATATGACAGCACAATTCATCTTTCTGAGAGCCGAGCAGCAATAGCATTGTGTTGGTTGTGCTTTGTCTTGAAGTCACAGAGGGCAGATGCAATAACTGGCTATATCTACTCTTTAGTGCACCTACAACTTAACTCACTTGTTAAATTATGTATAGTGATTAGATATTTACTCTACTTGGCATCTTAACCAGATTTCAACTTAGGAACTTACATGTACTTCATCAAGACAGCATTACAAGGGACTGGCCGGTTAGCTCAGTTGGTTAGAACATGGTGTTTTATAGCACGAAGGTCAAGGGTTCAGATCTGTGTACCAATCAGCCACCAAAAAAAAAAAACAAAAACAAAAAACAGCATTACAAATACTTTTAAAATGATTCATTTCTTCTTAACACAAATCTCAATTAGTTCTTGAATTGGGACTGTTAATGTGAAAGCTTTTCAGCCTTCTAACAAAATCAAAACTACCAAGTTTTAAAGTATGTATGTGTTTTAAATGTTTTAAGTGTTCCATTAAAAGGTCTGGCTTTGTTCCCATGAGGTAAAAGAATGTACTAAGTGGAAAGGATAAAAGTCAAACATAGAACTTGACTTTCTAGACATGTTTTCTGAGCTCACTGTGCTAAGTTCCTAAGTTGAAATTTGGTTAAGTTGCCAAGTAGAGTAAATATCTAATCACTATGTATAATTAGTACAAGCCTGAATGTGCTGATTAGCAATTCTGCTCCTTTCTGCCCAGCTCATGGCAGCAGACCACGGGAACTGTGATATTCTTTCTCACTTTCCCTCTGCCTATGATAGCTATGGTGACTCGGCCTTTCTTCCTTTCAGGGTGTGAACGGCATGTCTGTGGATGAGAAGCCTGACTCCCCCATGTATGTGTATGAGTCCACAGTCCACTGCACCAACATCCTCCTGGGCCTCAATGACCAGCGGAAAAAGGATATTCTCTGTGACGTGACCTTGATCGTGGAGAGGAAGGAGTTCCGGGCCCACCGGGCTGTGCTGGCCGCGTGCAGTGAATACTTCTGGCAGGCTCTGGTCGGACAGACAAAAAATGACTTGGTGGTCAGCTTGCCTGAGGAGGTACAGTAATTTGATTTGTTTGTGTAGTTGTTAGTGGAGGGTTATTGACTTACAGAAAACTGGCTGAGTAGGAGTTAGAAGGTGTACCTTGTGCCATATCCTCACTGGGGGGCTCATGTTCAAATCACCCACACGTTAGGTTTGTGGCATAGCCAGTTTCTATTTGATACGCTTATAAGTCTCAGAGGCATGAATATGATCACCTTTCTTTCTTTTTTTCTTTCTTTCTTGGAACTGAATCTCACCTGTGGCTCAGTTACTCGTAGTTTCTAGTTCACTTACACTTCAGGTTTTGAGTAGTGTGACCTAAGTTTGGTACAGTCCTAGATGAGGGATCTGAATCACTGCTATGATTTCTGTCTTTCAAATTGCTTAAGGATCTCTAGATTTCCCTTGAGAGTAAAAGAATGAAAGCATTCACAGCACCTTCCTTGCTTGGGGGAAAAATAAAAGCAACCACTAATTTTCACAGTTAATGTAAGATTCTAAGAAGCGTAAACTTGCTTTTCTCACCATTGTTGAAAATACCCTACTCGGGTTTCTTAATTGCTTCAGTGAGTCCAGTCCTTTCAGTAATCTAGGGACACCAGAAGCTGGACCTGCTCTGTCCAGAGTTGGCATTCAGTTGGATGGCTTGAGCTGCCAGAACTCAAAGGATGGGCTTCACAATGGCAAACCGTTTTAAAGTGGGCACTCTTTGAACTGTATTTGTAATTCCTCTTCTTCCATAACCCTGACTTCCCTTCATTTTCATGGGAGTGAGGATAATCCTGAGCAGCCTTAGGCTTTGTGGCCGGGCAGAATCATTCCTTATACACCACTAGCACCGTGCACAACTCTAGGGCCACTACCAATAGTTGTGCAAGCTGCATAGTGCACAGCTCCCAGGGGACAACTCCCATCCATAGTCTTTGTTAATAGAGCCCTAGAGTTGTGCAGTGTTCTACTGAGCAGCTCCGCACAGCAAACTTAGGAGAAACCAAAGACTCCATCATCAAGATGTAGGTGCTAATGATTGTACCCAGTATTAAATCCCAGGGATCACAAGCCCAGATGCCTTCAGAGGCCTGGCAGATGATATAAATGAGTAAAATAAGTTGTGGATAAGTCAGGTGATGGGACAAGCACCTACTCCACCAAAAGTCATCCGAATTCAGCATAAAAATAAATAGGCAAACAAGATAAAAGGGGTGGAGGAGTCACCACATTCTAGTCCCTTGTCCAGCAACATCTGCTGTTATCCTGCACAGCAGGAGAGTGGCCAACTGATAACCATGAGGACTGCATAAGCCTTCAGCATTTTCACATTAATGTCCTTTTTATGTACTACTCACCATAAAATTCTCCATTACTACTTCTCATACTAGTAGTAAGTAGATAGCTAAAAGATCCCAGTACTAGAAGCAAAAGTACAAATCAGTTGAAGATGATGTAACTGGGGCTGGGGTAAGGAGTGGAATATTATATACTGAGTAACATGGGAAGGCCCAGGAATGGCAGCTGTGGTGTGACCGGG